TTTTTTTTTTTTTTTGGAAAGAAAGTCTGACTGTCAGCCTTTCCCACAGCGCTTCCCCGCTGTACAAGGAGACAGTATTGCACTATGACCGCAGGAGAAACGAGGTCCAGACTCAGAGAGCTTTTCTGCGTCACACCTGGGCACTGACTTCACCTGCACTGTCGCCTCGCTGCGCCATGTGCCGCGGCGCGCGCTCCTCTTGCAGCAGTCAGTGTGGTGGTTCGGCAAACATGTAAACAGTTTGGCGTTCATTTTCGCACACCCGAACCAGGTCCAAATAAGTTATGCTTTTTCCCTCCTCTTCATTTGCGCTCTCAGCCACGCTGCTTCCCCCTTCCTCTGTTTTGACTCCAGCTGGTTACATCATCAAAAACAACTGCGAGGTTGGCCGGCAGATCTCCATCATAGGACAAATTTATATCGTTTCTACCGTATATCGTTTATATCGCGCATTCCTACTGTAGGCTGTTTAGTTTTTATAGTTTTTAAACTAAATTTTAAATAATATATTACACAGACAGAGCAATTTTATTTACACTCAAAGCATACTGGGTAAATGATGACGTCGACAAAGTTATTGGTGCGAGGCTGCTAGCTATATCCACCCTTGGACAATATCTGACAATCAGCTATTAAATGAAAAAGAGATAAAGAGGCGAAGGCAGAAACGACTCAGCCTGCAACTGAAAATATGGACGGAGGACAACAGAGCTGCTTCATGGAAGAAGAACCCCAGCTTAGCCTGTTAGCTTTCGTGCTAGCACCTATGCTATATCACCATATATGTATTAGCTCAGCGCTACACATTCTCCTCATCACTGAGGTCCTCCATCCACATGACAGAGAGGGGAACACAAAAATGACTCAGCTGCAACTGAAAATATGGATGAAGGACCTCAGTTTAGCTTGTTAGCTTTCGCACTAGCGCTGAACTAAAATATATAAAGGCAATACAGTGTCAGTGCTAACGCTAAAGCTAACATAAGAAAACATGTTATTTACTGAGTAGGCTAGAACAAACCAAGAGACAGATTCAGATTTTAGACTTGAACATTTCAGTGTAAATGACAGTATTTCTGACTGAAACAACCAGGTGCCTTCTCAACCATACTAATAAACATAATTTGTTCCAGTTTTATGTCAACTCAAAAACATAGGTTTTAGTTGTGATGAAAACTTAATTGTGTCTTTTCTTTGTTTCAGATGTTTCGCTGTGTTCCAGTTTTGTGAAGACGCAGCTGCTTCACACAGGTTCAGACTTTGTCAGCACCTGTAAAACACAGCAGCTGATGTAAGGCTCAGCAATGACTTCATTTAGAGAGACTTGTCTGTAAATTTAGTAATTTAGAAGCTCCATCATGTAGTATTATTAAGAAATGTTGTGATGAGAGGTCTCACGGTTGCTTCCACTGAGAGGATCATCAGTGTGACGATCTGAGATTCTTTCTGGTCATTGTTTTATCAGAAACAGGAAGCCAGAGTGACAGCCCGCCAACAGAACGCGCTGCAGTTTCAAAGGGCTAACATGTAATTGAACTAAATGAAAGGTCTCAGTCCATAGAAGAAGCAGCAGTCTAGTTTCATTAATGTGAGGTGAACTGCTTCGTCTGTCTGTATTTCAGACTCGGTTCCACTGTTTAGTCAAACCATCACACAAGCAGCTGTGTGAAGAACAAGTGACACAAACACAGTCCAGCCTCATACTAGAGCTCAGCTTTGTACTGAGCCTGCTTCTGGCCTCAAACCATGCTCAGTTTCATGATTTATTTATGTAAACAGTTTTATATGACTTCACGTCCTCTCATTTACGATCACCTCCTGTTCCTTCTTGCAGAGAAACTTTGCTTCACTTGCTCTCCCCTTGGTTTCTCTTTTGTTTTTACAACTTCTTTAAAAATATATTGGTGGTTCAGTTTTCTTTGTTGTGCAGGATATAGTTTGACCAATCCCACACTGTTGTAGTGACCAGTGCTGTGGGCAGTACTTCTACATTTTTATCCTTGAAGGAGACCAATTATGGGTCCTAGAAATGTTTATGGTATGTCTGTGGGCTATCCAGACCATGTTTATTCAATTTAATGCACAAAATAATTCTCAGATAATAAAAGTTCTCATTTTCTAGTTCTGCCTGCTCTGACTTCCGTTCAGAAGAGCTGTTTATGTTAATGAGCTCTGTTGGTAACGCCCTCCAAAAATCTGTTGACATTAACTCCGCCCTCCAAAGCCAGCGTTTACGTTAGCATGGCTAATAATAGCAGAAGCTCCGTTGTACAACCGTATGAGTGACCCAGAGGCAGAGTCGTGGTCCCAGCTTCTTTTTTTCTCTCCCTCCTCTGCTCTGCACTCACTCTGCATGTTGTTACCAGAGCAGGGAGCAGTAGCGGTCAAAATACCTCAGAAACTCGAACAAATAGGCTTTAACAAGGCTTTAATAAGCTAAACAATAGAGGTACATGAGAAAACGTGTTCATAACGAACAAAAATAAATAAATAATTAAATTGTGCCCATGCCGGTCTCAAACCCTGGTCTCCTAGTCTTTGGTCCAACACTCTACCCATTGCCCTATTGGAGGCTTGTTGTGAAATGAGCTGCGCATTACACAACAACATGGTGACGGCTTTTTATACTGAGGTGGAGTCTCACCCAGGGGTTGCTAGGTAAGGGGCTGAACGCAGGTTCCGGTGGGTTGCCATACAGCTTGTGACATCACAAAATGACAGAAGTATAAAACTTGTCATTAATGTACATTAAAAATACATTTACTTACAGTAAATATACCCCTGGGTGCCTTTTTCTGGTCCTAGGACTGATTTTTAAGAAGTACATACCCAAAGTTGAGTAAAAAAACCTTTAAAAAGTGAATTTTGCATAATAGGTCCCCTTCAACGTACAGAACAACTGCTTCTCATAAACCTGCCAGTACTCAGTGTGACCAACCATAAGCTATGAACAATTCTCATAAACTACACCAAGACATTGGTTAAACCCAGGAAGTAACTTCTCTGCACTGCTTCTGATTGGGTCAAGTTTAGGGATGAGCTGATGCGTGACTGACGAGGAACTGATGATGTATGGAGCACAGCTGTTGGTCCAACTGCTGTAAGTTAGCAGGAAGTGTAAGTCTTAGTCATACAAGATATGGATTTGTGTTCTCACTGTGAGGTTCACTTACTGTAGACAAAATACAGTATTTCATCTTGAAAGACTCATAAAAGAGTCTGAGAAGTACGTTTAGTTCTCACCCCCAAAGATGACCTTTTTATACCCCGAATCTGTCCAGAGATCACTTTTTTCTTTCTTTTAATCAATAACTGCATCATTGTTAGCCTGGCCCTTGCCTTCCTACGCAGCTCCACTCAATTCTACTTTCCCTTCACTGCTACATCTGGGACTTCTCCCATTGAGATGGATGTATTCGGGACCATTTCATCCGGGCCAGTCAGAGAACAGAACATTAATTTTCTGCATAGTGTCTGCTTGTAGTTTATTTTACCTGGACCAATCAGCAAACAGAAGGTGGAGTTTTGAATGGCATTGATTTTCTGTGCAGGGTCTGCTAGTTAGTTTAGCATACGGCAGTGGAGGAAGTGAATGAAGCCAGTCTGTGTTGATGAGGCTTCCAAATTAAAATAAATTTGTCTGACAAAGCAGCAACTCTCATTTACAGTCGTCTCGTTCGGCTCGGTACTTCTCTCCTCTCAGTAGGGTTGTTTACAGCACATGTGATTTCTGGTTAGCTTCTTAGCTTAGCCTCCGTCACAGCGACATACATATCTTTCAACCGATCCAATCATTTTAAACTTCAGCAGAGGCCACGCCTCCAGCAAGAATCACTTCTCAATAGCCGGGAGTCCAGACCTGGTCTGGTTTTTACCAGGTTACATCAATTGCAAATTATTTTTGCCATGTTTTTCTTTTGTGCTGTGCAAGATTCTCCTGTAGTAAAAAGTTGTGCAGTCTGTTATCTGTTTAACATTATAATACTGGACTGCACAGTCTGATCTGTATTAAAGAACTTGATGATTTTTAAAACCACAGGTTGAGCCTTAACACTTATGTTTGACAGTTTCTGTGCCAGTTAAATGGCTCAAAGTGCATTAATTAGTTGATATACAGTGAACAAACTGGTCTTCTTTGAATAAGTGCATCAAAATTAAATCAAGACTGGTGAGCCTAAAGAGTCAGTGAACTTTTATGTTTAATTTGCAGCTAAAGGCCCTGTCACACTGGACAACTAATGAACATTTACGTTGAAGATGGAACTGAAAAAATCAACAGGAAGCTTCTTTTCGGTGTGTACATAATGCAATTCTGACAAATTGATCAAATATATAATGTTTATTAGCAATTTGGTCATAAAAAATGTTTCAGAAGTTGGCACAAGTTGTCTAGTGTAACAGGGCCTTAAAACATGGAGCAGGCCCAGGGTTTGTTTTCTAAAATTAAATTATTCCTTTTTACATGAAGAAGTGATCGTCTGATCGATTTAAATTCTTACTGTGCAACAAGATACAAGCAGGGAAATACCCAAACTTTGTGCTCATTATTTAGGTAAATATATTAATTTAATTATCCCAAAGGGAAATTTGGGTACATTTAATATGGTATAAATTTAATTCCGTTTATTTATACAGCGAGAAGTCACAACAAATATTTTTTCAGGGCACTATAAAAAACACTCATACACATTATAAAAACCAATTACCGTATTTTTCGGACTATAAGCCGTACCGGACTATAAAGCTGCACCCGCCATTTGAAAAAAAAATCCACGAACATTAACATATAAGCCGCACCGGACTATAAACCGCACCCCCAACATAAAAACAAAACAAAAAAAAAAACAGTACACCCAAATTTGCCATCAAAAAAGTGAATTCAACATCAAAACATAAAAAGCAAACCTTTAGGAATTAAAGTTCGGAGGAATACGGTTCATATAACTGACCTTATTTTGGTAGTTTTCTTTAACAGTTTCTGGTCCAACAAAACGTCTCATTCATTGTCCTCCGGTGCACTGAAACCATCGAAGTCCTCTTCAGTGTCGGAGTTAAACAAGCTGAGAAAAGCTGCGTCACACAGCAGTATCTGTTCAGTGTTGCTTTCTGTGTCGCTGTCCTCCCGGGGTAATGCTGGCTCTGAAGCTGTGGTGGGAAAGCCCTCCCGCTCCAGCATACGTCACTGCATGGGATTCCTTCCCCGGGGAGTGCAATGAGGGGAAAAAAGTCTGCGGCTCTTCACTCAACGTTTATCCACAAACTGGTCCTGGATTAAGCTCCAAAGTTTTTATCAGTCAGATTCCACCGTGAAAAATGTCTGTTTTATCCCCTTTTATGAGWTTTTGGCCATTGACTATCTTTAAACCGCTGCTTCCTGGTCAACAGTCAGCTCTGGAAGCGATCGCTTTTTTGTTTTTTTTCCTTTCTTTTTTTGAAGCGAGTGGTTGAAGCAAATGGAGCATAAGAGCCCCCTGGTGGCTGAAGAAAAAAATCCATGTATAAGCCGCACCGGACTATAAGCTGCATGGTTCAAAGTTCAGGAAAAAAGTCGCGGCTTATAGTCCAAAAAATACGGCAGTAAAAGTTAACAAACAAAGGGAGCAGCAGATTGCGTTGAATCACTTCATCACAGTCTCCCATCCTGAGCAGCACATTGGTGAGGGTGGAGCGGAAAAACTCCCTTTTAACAGGAAGAAACCTCCAGCAGAACCAGAACCAGGCTCAGGACATCTGCCTCGACCGGCTGGGTTTGGAGGTCAAACACAAAACGACTAGAAACCTCTGATATAGCCTTTATAAACAGTTAAGGACCTGAATGTGTTTTATTTTACCATTATTTGTTACAATTGGAACATTCTTGATAAACTGATAGTATGCGTTAATCAGTTCAAAGAATCAGAATGGATAAAACAGCAGTAATATTGGAGGTATTGTATATGGAGGTTTGTTTCTCCTCAGTGTAGTCTGTAGACCTGGATATTCAGGGTTGTAGCCTCAGATCTCCCTGCAGGTGTTTAAGACACTCACATTGACTCTGACTATTTAAAAAAACATTATTGAACATTTTCATGAACACTTTCAAAACTCCAGTGACAGGACTGTGCACCTCTGTGACTTAGTGATGGAACTGAGAAACACTGCAAATAATTTCATGTTTTTCTGTTTACAAACTGGTCTTCAAGTGTTACCCCAGTGAGATACTACCTTTGTTAGTTTCATACCATCATACCAAGAAGGTGAAGTAAAGAGCAGTTTGACTGGATGAAGCAGCCAGATGCTAAAAACTAAACTTGGTTCTGTAATGGCAGGATTATACACTGCAAAAACTGTCCATCTTACCAAGTTTTAAAATCTTATATCAGCCAAAAAGTCTTTTTTGATCTTGTTTTGAGACTGATTTACTAAACAAGAACTGATTGTGTAAGAATAATCATCTTGTTTTCAGAATGTGTAAGATTATTTGTCTTGTTAGTCTGAAAATTTGACTCAAATTGTCAAAGATTTCAGTGGAGTAAGAAAATTTTACTTAGTAGGATTCTTGAAATACTTGATTTGACTCAATTTTCTTCTTATTTCAAGAATCTTACCAAATAAAATTTTCTTACTCCATTGGCAGAAATCTTTGACTTAATTTGAGTCAAATTTTCAGACTAACAAGACAAATAATCTTACACATTCTGAAAACAAGATTATTATTCTTACACAATCATTTCTTGTTTAGTAAATCAGTCTCAAAACAAGATCAAAAAGACTTTTTGGCTGGATATACGATCTTAAAACTTGGTTAGATGGACAGTTTTTACAGTGTAAAACCTGTTGATATAAATCAGCTCTCTCTGAAAACACTAACGTCCTGTTAATAAATAAAAATACTTTTAAAGTGACAAACATTACCTCTTCATACTGAGGAGACAATATCAGGACGTCCTCGTCTTGAGGTTGTGGGATGATTGAGTCGTTTACTATAATTAAGTGTTTTACATTTCATGTTCTTATATAAAGCTGATGAGAAGAATCAGTGGTTTAAAAAGAGTC